AAACAATAACAAAAAGCAAAATGTAAGAAAAAAAAAATAAAATTATAATTGTATCGAAACCTTCTCTCATTTAACATGCCTATTTTCATTATACATACATAAGTATTAAGTACATAATTATGTATAATATCAAAATCAAAAATATAAGAAAGAAAATAAACTCAACTGAACAACGCAGAGAAAGAACAAAAATAAAAAACGGAATAAATGCCTACATAAAACCAATGCATGTAAACATGTACATGTATATCAAATACTATAAACACAAATTTTATATAAGCATATGTTTCGACACATATAACATAATCTGTATCGATAAAAATACTAGACTATGACATTCATTTTACTCTTGAATATTTCAGCCAATTTTTGTTGGTTTTTTCAGTACTGGAATAGAAACCAAATTATTGTTATCAATCTCTATAGAAACAAAGCGAATCGCAGTTTTCTTTAAAATACATACATATATTCTTTTATATTACGACACAATAATTTTGTAATTACATTATAAATATAAATTTCTATATTGTTTTACTATTTTGTATATTTTTATAACATAACTTACAGCCCATTTTTTTTTGAATTTTATTGTTTTTTAAAGCAAGTTTAGTACAATTTTCCATAAAATTAAAAATGTGTGAGCAATCTTTCGGTAGCTATAAGAAAAAATGTAATTGTAGTTTTTCTTTTAATTTGTGCTCTCTGAATGTCATTGTTAAAATTAGTGTAATACCGAAATCTTCATAATTATTTATAATTTTATACTTAAGTATCTACAAGTACATAATGTAAATATTGAAATGAATAATATTATATTATAATACTTCAAATTACATACATAATATATAAATAAATATATTATTTATTATATATTTATTATATGTATATTATTTATCTTAACATATGTATATTTATTTACACTACCAGTTCCAATGGAAGTAAATATGAGCGAAACAATATTTTATAATATAAATATTCAATGTATAAACGCATGTATGTATACACGCATATACAGTTTAGTATAACATCATGGTATAACTATACAGGCATATATACAAATCTACACGTATGCATGTACAAACATACATACATATATTTTTTTATGGTTCATAATGTGGTGGTTTTCCACATATTGTGTTGTTTATTTAATCTATGTATTTTTGCATGCATTTTATACAGTTACAATTTTTAATTATGTATTTAAATATTATTTTTTTTGTTTGCTTTAATAATTTTCATTTTGTTTTTTTTGTGATTTTTGATTGAAATAATATAGTTTACTATTTCAATTTATTTTATTAAATTTCAAATGGCAATTACAAAAAATTATTTCTTATAAAATGACAGCAAATAAGCAAAATTTAATAAATCAAGCTAATTAAGGTTATGTAAATTCAATTGTTCAAATTTCAAAAAAAAAAACAAAACAATGTAAATTTAATTGTTCAAAATTCAAAACAAAAATTCAAAAAGAGATTCTCAATTTAAATTTAATAATCTAATTATTAATTTCGATTTTAACACAAAATTGTTTTGTTGCTAGAGGAATGTAATTCACTTGTGTATTTTATATTTACTTTATTGTGTATGAAATTTGCGTTTAGAAATAATATTTATACAATTAAATCTACATGGGTGCAGTATAAACTGAAAAATGATCATATTCATATTTATGAGGTATGTATCTATGAAAATTTCAAATACAAGTATTATAATTTATCGCATTATAATTTAGTACAACCGATTAATCAAATATTAACATAAATTATAAAAACCTTAATCTTCTTCTCTTTTGTACCTAATATTGCTCATTCTTTCTTAATCTCTTTCTTTATATTTCTCCCTTTTTTTTTTTGGTAACATAACATCGACATTAAATAATTTCCATACAAAAATTCGTTTCTTCATCTATGTAGTTATACATACATATATACATATTTTTTTGTTATAAGCGTGTATAAATATATTTATGTATATGAAAATCTCAAAAATTTTTCAGATATACTTTTATGTTTTCAATCTCGTTATTTTATTTTAGCTTCATAAGTTTCGATTATTATGATTACTAAATATTTATAAACAAAATATATGTATGTATATGTAAAACATAAATATTTATTTACATACGTGTAATAGATATATTTACATGCTCAAGTAAGTAAGGATGTATGTATGCATATAATAATATAACAATTTTTCAGTTGAGGAAAAATAGATAAATAGTATAAAATATTTAATGTATAAATATTTTAAACGCATGTACATAATGTATATACTTGCGTACATACATATGTATGCATAGGGATGTTTAAGTAATATGTTGTATACTTCAATGTACATATATGAATATAGAGAATTTTGCTTTATGATTTGTATGTATATAGTATTTTTATCAGAAACTATTTGTAATTTACTTAATGTCAGATAACATGATAATGAAAATAGCTATAGTATTAATAACAAAAATATCATTAGCATGAGCGATATTATTTCATTTAAATATAAAATAAATAAGTACACAAAAAGAGACCCAATTATGTAAAAGTATGTATTATAAAATTTAAATGTTATAAAAAATATTTTTAGTATACGCATTCACTTAAATTTAAAACAAAGAAAAATAACAACAATATAATTTTTTATTATTGTTGTTATTTATGCATTAATTGTTTGGAACTTTATGTACATTACATATACATACAAATATAAGTATGGACATTTGAACACATTTAATGTACCTACGTGACTGATTGATTGTATAACTTTTTTATTTAAAATTTTACAAAAATAAGAAACAAGAAAATATACAAAAAAAAATTTGCAAGAAAATAATTTTTCCTATAATTTAATAAGAGAAAAATAAATTAAGAGGGCAAAAGTCATAAAATTACAAGTATTCTTACATTTAAATAGAAATAAGAGACCAAATGAGAAATTCATAAAAAATATTAATTTTTTAAGAATTCATTTTGGAAGAGTGTTAAAATTCGATATTTTTAATGGCTTAAATTAAATAAAGGAAAAGAATAATATAAAATTAAATATTTATAATAATGAAAAAAACCTTGCAAAGTTTTTTCAACCTTATAGGGAACAATATTCGAATTTATTATACAAAAAGAAAACAAGCAAAGAAAAAAGTTGCCAAAAATGAGAGAGCGTAAAATGAGTTGTCAAACCTGTATGTTTGCTAGATGTAGATATCGATAACTTTATATTAAGTATATTGAACATACATATGTAATTTGTTTTTGTAGCTTATTTTGCTTATAAGGAACCGATTCACTTTTTTTTGTTATATTATTTAAGACATTATTACATACATAAATGCCTAAAGAAAATGACAATACTCAAAAATAAGTTATTTTTAGAAAAATAAGAGAAAATTTTTCACATTTAATTTTTAAGAGAGATGAAAAATTGAGTAATTTATGCTATTCTCTAAGTTTGTTTCGTCATTGAAGAATTAAGAAAAACTCTTAGCAAAACTTTGAGCAGAGATTTTTCAATGTATAATTACTTTCTTTTAGGAATGGTAAAAGAGAAACACACACTTGTGCAAAAGAATAAACCAACATTCTCCCATTTCAAGAAACTTAGTTAAATTTTCTTAACAACTACATTCAAAGTATGTATCTCACTTCATCTCCATACATATGATTTTAAAAGTGCTAAATGTTGTAAAGTTGAGTTGTAAATTTCAAAATGTTAGATTTCTTTGTTCTTAAACATGGAACTAACATAAAAATTTAACATAACATTAAAATGTATACAACCATGGACAAAACTTCAATGTGAGTCTGACATTCACATATTTCTCTGATTTCTCAGCAGATATTTGTTACTCTCTGCTTAGTTTGTGAGAAAATATTAGTGAAGAAAGTGTATGGATTATTTTTTTACTTTAAAAATACTTGTTTCTTTTTAAGGTAATCATCCTTTCCAGACTTAATTTAATTTATAATTTGATTATATTCTTTAATTTTGCAAATTTAATTGCAATAAACCCATTTAATGTCTAATATATGTCTATAATTCTCCTATCACGTAACAATACACGTTATGTACATTTTTGATGTCTATATTTCAATTATAATATTTCGCTCTCTACACCTGAAGCTTTATTATCATAAAAATTATATCGAAATTGAAAATTTTAATTAAAAAATTACATGTTTTACACTACTTACATAGTTCTCACTTATTTTTTCTCATTATTAGTGGATGTTATAAATGAGAGAATTGGATTTTGTACTCATATTTTAGTGAGAAAAATTTATAATTTCATTCAAAATAATGCTTTTATTTTTAAATATAATATAAAAATGTTATTACAATAATTACAGTTTTTAAAAGAAGAGATTTAAAATAAACTTGCTTATGCGAAACAAAGATTCATTCAACAGTAAAGGAGAGCGTTCTTTAACTGTGTCTAAATTTGCTTAACACTCATATTATCCTATATTTCTCTAAGGGATATTTTTGAGATATTCTCTTTCTTCCATATAAAATTGTTTATTTATATACGCATACATACTCATATTCTCAACAACTCAATTTGACCTTTTATTTTGGTATGTTTTGCTTTGTTAATTTGTGTTTTTGCGTTGCATTTGTATTGTACTGTGTAACAGTGTTTGTGAATTATTAAAAATGAGAATGGTCTTTCTCATTTTGTATTCGGATAATTTCGGATTTATATCGTATTTATCTCTCTTCTCTATTATATAAGAGAAGAGAGAAGAGTAAAAGAAAAAAGTGAACAATGCAATAAAATTAAAAACACTTAAATAATAATACAAAACAAAAAAAAAGAAAAACATTTCAAGTTTTTTGTTCTCGTGCGTTCATGAATAATATGAATTTCAATAAAAATGGAATGGGACAAAAAATTTAAACAGAAAAAAGAATTAAAATAGAAAAAAAAATAAAATAAATACAAATTTTTTTTCCATGAACGAGAAAGGAAAAAAAGCAGTAAAACGTTTAGTCGCGAGAATATCGCGCTCGGCAAGACGTTGTATTCGGATAAAATATTGTATGTACTAGTTTATTTCAGAAGAGAGGTAACACGCGGCGAAATTTTTGATTTTATGTTTTTCTTCTTTTTTGTTATTTTTATATCACAACACAAATTTATTATTATTATTTTTTTTGTTCTATTTCGTTTTTCCTCTTAATATCTTTTTGTGTTTTTTGTTTTTTTTTCTTGGTTTTATTCGTTCATTTCAGTTTTCATTATTCAATGGAATATCATATCAATCTATAGATTTTCGCTATACAATTATGTTTATCTATATGTAAAATATGTATATGTACATAAGAATATACATATGGTATGTGGAAACGAATGTATACAATTTTTTAGTACAATAATATTATAAGGTACACACATATATACATATAGTATAATTTTTTTTGTATTATGAAGATTGTATACATTAATTTACATTATATGTGTGCCTACTTATGGTATAATATACAATATTGATAAGTATAAATTTGTGTATATTATTAAAGTATTCACTCGAATTCAAATAGAAGGCCTTTTGATATTTTTATTGAGTTCTTTTTTTATTTGAAATTTTTGTTGCCTTTTATTTCATTTTTTTACATATTTTTGTTGGTTGTTTGTTGCAGACGATTTAAACTGACAAAAAGTTGAAAAATTATTTTAAAGATATAAAGAAGAATAATGTAATAAAATAAAAAGAACAACAATAATATACAGAAAGAGTGCGAAAGAGAGAGAGAAAGAGAAAAAATTACAATATAAAAAATTTGAAAATAAAATAATTAAAATACATTTACTTATGTACATACATATGTACATAATATAAATACACTAAGGTATATATACATACATACATACACCAATTTAAATGTACATTTTAGGTTTACATACTTACAATTGAATACTGAACTGACTAATATGTAAGCATGAAAGTTTTGTAGTCATATAATTTAGTAAATGTAATTTTATACGAATAATAATTGTAAATATTTTCAAAACTATTTACAGGAGCGGATTTTCTTTTAAGCATTTATGTAAATATATGCATATATATACACACATACTTATTCGACGTCAACACATTTATTCACACAAAAATATTTAAATGTGTATATTACTACTTATATTTACATATATGTATGTATGTATAGATTTGAATATAAAGTATGAAAAGAGAAAAAAATAAAAAATTAAATAAATAATGTTTTCTTATTATATTTCTAGAATTTTTTCTTTTTTGTTTTATAAATGTATGTATGTATGTATGTGTGTGTGTATTCCTTTCTTATTTTGTTTAGAATGGAGTAAAAATATTATTGGGGTCATAATTTAGTTATAAATATCTACATACTCACGTACAACTTTATATAAATATAAATATATGTATATGAAAAATAGAATCTTTAACGTAGGTACTTAAATATTTACAAACATACGTATGTTTATATATATTATGTAGATACAAATAATTAAATTTGATGTATATGGTAAGCTTGACAATCTAAAACGGATATGGAAATATGTATTTTTGTTTTATATTCTTTAAATGACAATTAAATTTGAATTAATCAATTTATTTGTAATGAATATGGTTTTTAAGATTACATAGGGATTAATATCCCTATTGTTTGTAATTACACACAAAAAAGTACACCTACATCAGAAAATTATTATTTATTTCATTTGAATCTCCTTTGTAATATACCAGAGATTGCCAAGAGAGAATTTTCAGATCCCTGGCGCAAAGGATGTGACACAGTTAAAATAAATACAAAATTCTTTTATAAAATAAAACGAACTTTTGCAAATATTGTCGTACTTAATTATAAAATACAAAATTTATTTTTTCTATACGTGGAATGTATACCTACATACTTGTTTATTTTATGAAAAATACCTGCCATATGAAATGTGAATATATCACTTTATTTAGAATTGTATTGTATTGTAGAATTTAGAGAAGATGCAAAAAAAAACAAATGAGCAAAAAAATTATAATTTTGATTCCCACAATAACCATAAATACAATATAAATACAATTATTTTTTTACATCTGTATACATAAATAAACACATACATATAATGTATGTACCTACTACTTTATTATTATTTAATTCCGTATACTGTTATACACAATTCTTTTAATATACAATACACTGTTACCACATACATACATATACATATATAATTTTTTATAAATTCCTATTTGAATGAAAAATTTTAGAAAATTCTGTAGACAAATAAATGGAAATTATAACCAGTTATACTGACTGACTTATAGCTTAATTGTGACCTCGTTTTAGCCATAACGTCATAAATTAGTTTACTAATTTTCATGGTTTGTTTTATTGCTATTTGTAATGCTGAATAAAGCATGCTCTATTAATTACATATTAATAATTTAAAAAATTGAATCAAATAGACTGTTAAAGAGAGTTAATTATGTTTGTTGCATAAAATTGGGAGTAAATTATTTGTATACTCGTACCTAAAAAGTATGTAGGTAGGTACATATCTACAACATGTTTCGCTAAAATGTGCATGTTTTATATTACGTGATATTCAAAGAGTACCTTACAAACATCTTTATTTCATTACCTTTAATGCCAGAATATAAGAAATCACTTTTAATATATGTATGTAAGAAAATAGCATAAAATAATGGGAGTGAAATTTGTCAATAAGTTAGAACATGATGCAAGTAGTTTTTTTTTGTAAATTGTATTATATTGATAAAAAGTAATTTTACTGATAATATTCAAAAATTTTTGTTAAATAGTTTACACTAACATCTGTCCATATGTTATAGAAATAAATACAAAACAATTTTTACTCTGTGTATCAATATGTATGTATATGTATGTATGTACATATGTATATAATAAATATTTTTGAAATATTTTTAATATTTCATTTATGTATATCTAAATCATCATTAATATTAATATTTTTGTTTTTTGTAAAAATATCTGTCACTTGATAATTATTTTTTTAAATAGGTAATAATTAAAACAAATCATAATTTTTTTTAATTTCAATTCAATGTACAAATTTGAATGAAAAGAATTCGATGATTTGCATTATTCGATAATTAAAATTTTGATTACTAATCTTTACCTAAATTTGTAAAATAAATTTAAACTTTTAAAATGATGACAAGAATTCCTCTTGGGTTGCGAATAAATCTCAAAAAAAAAAAGGAAAAAAATTTTGAGTTTGTAAAAATGTCAGTTTATATAATTTAATAAATAATCAATTATTATTACATACAAATGTACATATTGACAAATTTCTAGAAAACAAAAAACATAAGTTAATATTATTAAAATAAATGAAATTTAATTTGCTTATTTCCATTAAAGTTTTTATGAACTTTTATTTAAAAAAAAAATTATTGTTGACATTTAATTTTCGTAATTGATTAATTATAAAATTTGTTAAATTAAAACAACTATCTACATTATATTATGTAGGTAATAAAGTTAAAATTGAATTTTATATTATAAATTATATAATATATTATGTACATATATAATTACGAATGTATATAATAATATAATTAATTAGGTATACTTGATATTTAAGGTGGAAGGATTGTAAACGATGCGTATAATATTCAAAAAATGCATTTTGTGATAAAAAAAAAGTAGCAATAGCAAAATACAGTGATTTCGTGTCTCACAGGGCATTTACATAATATGTTTTTTTTGCTATAAAGATGTTTAAAATCATCGACAAACAAAAATAGGCGGGGGACTACCGCAACCTAAAACACCCCTGATGGTCAAAACTTCCCAAAACTGATTCAGTATTATCCTTGCTCTATCGTGTGCTTGTGTCTTGTATCTTGAGATATCGGTCTATATGACTTTGCTTCATTGAAGGATTTCCCTAGTTTTTCTGCCAAAAACGCAGCAATTCGTATTGTGTTTACAGACATTTTTTAGAAATCGCTTGATCTACATAAGTACACCTGCTTTTTGTAGTAGTCAAACTTAAGATTTCATCATTTGTGTTGTGTTATTCTCAATTTCTTCATATTCTTCATACCTTTCTTAACTCCTTTTCTTATATCATTTTCTGTAATTTTGGATGTTTTTTCTTTCTTTCTGTGAGTATTTAACTCAATTTTTTTCTATATTTGATGTGAAAGTATTAGTCTTTTTTGGGATCCTTTCGTGAGACCTGTTAAGACTGGGCTGCCTTTCATTTTCTTTTCTTGTAATTCTTTAGCCACTAAATAGCCTCGGTAACAAGCAGGATGGCCTCACCGCAGTTTGCGCATTTGACTTGAAAGTTATTTTTTCTATTACACTCTGCCGTCATATGATTATTAGTACATTTAGCCACTCTATGGCAAAATCTTTGTGTATGTTCAAATCTCGTTGTTGTGTGTTGAATAGTGTCAGATTCTCAAGTTTTCTTTCATGTGTTGAAGATATTCTATTTTATATATGTATTTCATTTATGTTTTCAGCATAATCTAAGGGAAGCATGAAGAGGGTCAACTTTTTAACAGTATTACGTTATTTTCTTTTGTTTTTTTTAATTTTATTTGTCACATCTACATGCATTTGAATCCGAGAATCTTATTGAATATTTGATATGTGTACCCAATTCCAAGGTCCCATTCATATTAAACCTGAAAATGAAAATCAAAAATTATAATAAGACAAACATACACACATATTTAAATATATTATTTAAAATTTTATTGTCATTTAATAATTACATAATTAATGACTTAAATTTACATTTCTACGTATACATACATACCGCTATTTTATGTATCTATATGTATGACACCATATTTGTTTATTTAACCAAATGTTATGTGAGTAAGTAAAGGAGCCAGATAATATGCCATTATGTATAGATTTGTTTTTAACTTATTTACTTAAAACCAACATGCTACTAATTTACAAACTATGTACGTTAGTATATATGTATGTATGTATGTAAATTTAAATGGAAATTATTTTGTCATAATTATATAACAACAGAGATTTTCGGTAATAACAATCTTTAGAAAATAATGAAAAAATATACACG